TCTTTTTTTATTATTCATATCCAATACTGAAAATACATAGATGCAGCAAGAGCTATTAGTCTTATTCCAAAAATAGCCTATTATATCGGAAATGCGTTTGCCAGGTGGTTAAAAGTTTTTGTAGAACAAATGTGTTTTAGATCAATCGTCAGAGCCGACCGTAAAATGGAAGTTGGTGTCAAGAAAAAATGTCGCGGATGTACACGTGACGTTTATTTAAAATATTAATACTATACTTTTCTGTTTATAAATATTGCCTAAGAATTATGAAAAAAGAATCCTTAATAGAAGGAATACAACAATATGGTCCTTATATACATAGATAGGTAGGTACATAATATCTGTTGGTATGTAATTGATATGCGCTTATAAGAAAAACACAAATTTTAAAATATTTGTCTGTTTGTTTGTTCTGGCTAATCTCCGAAACGGCTGAACTGATTTTGACGAGAGTTTCACTGGTAGATAGCTGATGTTATAAGGCGTAACTTAGGCTATTTTTATTTTAGAAATAGAATTATGGTTTCATTCAAAAAAATTATAACGTACTACTAGGGACGCACCTGAGCAAAGCGAGGTAAGTCGCTAGTATAAAATAAGCCCGCAACAAAGTCCGAAGATAGTTTCATTAAAGTGTCAAATATTCGCGTAAATCTAAGAAAGTATTACTCCTACTACATAATCAAATATAGAATTATACTTACCTGTAGAATTTACAATATTTATAGCTTCCAATATACTTTACTAGCAAAAAAAATATACACAGATAATAATCAATTTTCATTTTATTCTATTCTAAATTGACAATAATCAAATTTCATTTATCCTTTGACTCTTAATTTTGTTAAAATATACCCATCAAATAAAACCTTAATCAATATCTTAAAATATATAAGGTGAACACAAAATAACAGTTCGTATTAAAACAATTATTATTATGTAATATTCTGTAACGAATATTTTAAAATCTGATATCATCCCTCGAAAGTCTGCGGAGAAATTATTTTTTTATTGCGCTACATCTGGATGCAACGGAAACTGTTTTTGCCACCGCAAACTTTACACTAGTTTCCGTTATAAGTAGGTCAAACGTCAGCAACGTTCATAATTCATTCATTGCTCCATTATAGTTTTGTATTCAGCCCTTTTTAACGTCCCACGGCTGGGCACGTTCCTCCCTTCAGTACAAGGGGGATTAGACCATAGTCCACCACACTGGCCAAGTGCGGGTTGGCGGACTTCACATGTTTTTCGAAAACTTGCTAGGTTCTCGCAGACATGCAGGTTTACTCACGAAATTTTCTTCATTGTAAGACAAGTGGTAATCATATTGGAAATGAGTCGCACATGAAAATATCAGAGGTTCAGACCCGGGATTTGAACCCGCGTCACATGGTTTCCCAAACGAGCACGTTACCACTGGGCTACCACTGCCTTTTATAGTTAAGTTACATAAATCGGTCTATCAGCGCAAAATGTATTTATTATATATTACCTACTATTTTTTACATAGGTAGATAACAAAATATTACATTCTATTTTTTTCATTTGTTAATGTAGAATGTAATATTATGTGTATAACTATATAAAACAGTGCTTATAAAATCAACTGTTATTTATATATTTTTACTAGCGACCCACCCTCGCTTCGCCCGGGTTCGTCCCTAGGTATGTTTTATCGGTTAGTATGAAATAGTCAATCCCTTTCTCTGTCAACACTTTCGAACTGGAAAGACAGACATATATGAATGAAGCCAGTGTTTCTACACTTTATTTCCATAAAACCTTGTAAAAAGTATTATGAAAATATTCTCCTCAACAATTGCCTGCCTACATTAAGCCACTTCTATTGCTGTAAACTTCAGATATTGTTTTATTTTCAAATTTATACCATTGATACTAAATTTTTTTTACATCCAACAATAAAATTTAGTAATTAAGATCTTTATTCAATTTTTAACGTATTTATATGCAAGAAATTATATTATTAGAATAAAAAAATATTCAGTTCTTAACTCTTTCTTGATTCTTTAATACCTTTTTTTGTAGCTATTAAAAGCTATGGCTGTATTTTTGCGATAAATATAAAATTCTAAAATCAATAAATGTAATACTGTAAACATGTTCAAATAAAAAATAGCAATATTTTAAATGTAAATTATTAAACTACTAAACATTATTCAAAGTTGAAAAGAAATGATTACCGTAACATAATATTCAAAAAGTATATACTTAACTTATTATTTTTGTATCTAAAAACATATTACAACATTTACGCATTAAAAAAAATCCGCGACATTATTAATAGCAAGTAAAAAAACAATAATAAAACACTTCAACAGAAAAAAGCTCGTTATATGTTAAATTCTATATATACATAATCTGCACAAGCACCTACACATATAATCTTGAAAGCGTTACCAAAATAAAAAGTAAACACAAAGCAAAACGCGCCAAACACAATTTTCCGTAACAAAACTCGTGCGCACCGGAAAGTCGCGTTTATTTCCCGCCATCCGGCGCCTCGACCAACCGAAATTTGCCGCCTAAAATGCTCCAGCCAATAGAAACACTGGCCGCCATTTTCAGCCAATTAGAGACGAGCCCGCGCTCTTGCCATCGCGTCATTGTCATATCTCGAAAATTAGTACGCCAGTGCAGTGAACCCCGACGGTAAATTAAAGATTTTCCGTGAAATAATAGTATAAAATCACATAGGTAAGTGTTAACCTATTACTTATATTTAAGTATAACTATAGTTTTAATCATTTACACTTTACCTTTGCGACGAAGTCTTACCATTGAATAATTGTTTCGCAATTTTATTATAGATGCCCGTATCTGAAATGACGCATCGTTAAAGTGTAGTTTGAGTTGAAGTAAATATAATAACAATTTTATTTAAGCATATTAATATTATTAATTTGTTTTGTAGCACTTAATGCTGTTAGAGTAATCGAGTATAATCGTTTCCAAAAATTCTAGTCTTCGTTCAGCAAAATGGCGGCGACGTTGCGTGCTATTAATATGTCACCCGTCCCTTTCCGGGCAACGCGACCTAAGGCAAGAGTAAAAGGGATAGCTATAGTTCTGATAAGAAGTTTTAAAGTAATATGCTGCACACGTAACTAGACACGTCTTCGTACTTCGTAAACAAGCTTGACTATGGTGTTGCCATAGATGTGCTTCAATATTCCCAGGTTTTGGGAAACATTTTCTTGATTTTTTTAAATATTTTAGTTAAATTAAAAATATTCGTAATTAATTGTAAATTTAATTGCTTTTCGTTACTAATTGGAATTAAAATAAATTTTTAATTTGATTCTGGAATCATATACTATATATTTATTTATTGAAAGTACTTGTAATATTATTTTTCCTATTTGAATCTATTTAAATTTATTAGATTTAGTTACGTAGTCAAAGTAGTAATGTCGTTTTATCTTACAAGTTTATTTTATTATTTCATTTTATTATTTAATCAGATAAATTGGAAATCTTTATATTATAAAAAAACAAATTAATCATTAATAATTCATTTGATACGTAGTTTACCTTCAATAAAAATTAGCATAATGATAATTTTATTATAAGTTCATCATTTTTATATCTTACTAGCATTGCCTGTGGCTCCGCCCGCGTTCAGATAACCAAAAACCAAATTCTTAGGTTTTACATATTAGTATACTCTTACATTGTAATTTTTGTATTTTTTCTCAGAAATGAGACATTTTCCCGCGGTAAAAAGAATCCTATATATGTTGACCCGGATAACCAGCTATCACAATACCAAATTTCATCAAAATCCCTCCAGTGGTTTTTTTGTGATGCGGTAACAGACAGACAAACAAATTTTTTAAAAACTGTGGATTCGGTCTCTGTATCGATAATAATGTCTATTTCAATAAGATTTTCCAAAAGATATTTAATTTACAGATTCGGCTTAGTTACAATTTTATTATATTTATAATAAAAGGCCATAGGAATATAAGACATTTTTAATGTTGTATTCAAATTATCACAATACTGAGAAATAAATAAATAGGCGTTATAAATTTTTTGCAGCTTAAATTTAACTAATATGAATAACTAAATTGTAAAAAATATATAATAAAAAAAAATAAAAATTAAGTTTACGCATCTGCTACAAGTGCAATAAGAAATTAACCAGACACAAATCTAACTAGATGCCTTCATAACTTACATTTCCGATTAATCTTTTAAGATCTATATTTAAGCTACTTCGATATCTGTCTGTCTGTCCACTTATACCTTTAACTAATATTTGAAGCTACAAATTTATTTTAAAGCATTGCTGTTATTGTAATTATTATTTATTTGCTTTTTATGAGAATATATTGATACCTATTGCTTTTTTATGGAGAATATAAATATTTCACTATTTAATAATAATTAATAATAACAATTTGCAAATACTATGTAAGCATTTGAATAATCCTTGACCAATATGTGATAAACACTTTTAGTGGAAATATAACATTAGTTAGCTTTTAGTTATAAAAGAAATAATATAGAAGTCAACTAGTTTTGATAAAACTTATCAGGTATGAGTAGTCGACATCATTACAATATGTTTAAAACGATCTCAATATCTAATACGTGAGCGTGACCGATGACGATAAGTAAGGCCATACAAGCTAGCACTTTTATTTACCATTTAACTTAAAGGCAAGAGTAAATAAAAAAGGGTCGCAACTTATGTGTAAAATCAATGCGATAGTAGCGCCACACTGTGTCGAGTGGTGGAACTGAAAGCGACGCGTCGCGAAGCGAAGGCAAACGCGCACGCGCACTGCGCACTGATCAGTACGCGACATTCCGTCGTCCGTGTGGACGTGTTGTTTTACGTCACGTACTTACATCGCGTTGTTGTTTACAAACTAGTTATTTTAAGTGCGTTATGGTAATAATTTTAATATAAAACTATTTGTTTAGGCATCGCGGATGCTACTGTGTGTCACTGGACCAAAAGTTTGAACATGTCCGCGTTAAGTGTACGAGCTCCCGGCCTACAGGCCACAGTGCTGGACACTAGGTCGTTACGTAGTATACGTGGAGTGACCACGTTAGAAGGAGTGAGGAGGAATTTATTTGGGGCAACAGACCGAGAGGAAAACAGACGGTTTGTGGAAAGAGAATTGGCCAGGCAATTAGAACTCGACAGCCAAAGATGGGGTTTCGACTTCGCCAACGAGAAGCCACTTCCTGGAACACAAAGGTTCGCATGGCAACTCGTCCCAGCATCCAGCATCCCTGCCGCGTTAAGAAGATCACCTATCACTATAACAACATCTCCCAAGTCTGTCGCGCCAGCGCAGGAAACTAAAGTTTCAAGTCCAGAGAGCAACAAAACGCAAAAGAGAATAACAGGTTAGTAATTATTGAACATGCATTTTAAAATCACGATACTTTTATCTCAATTTCATAACTATGATAACCTAAAATAAGCTAATTGTAATGTAAACAAGTGCTATCTGTCCCTCGCAAGCAAGTTACAACTATTAAAACTACATTCAATAATAATTTTGACTTTGATAAGAATATATTTAAAGTTTAAACACGCATAATATATTACTAGTTTCACATTTCAATTATTTAACTTCTACTCCATTCAAATTTAACAATAGATATGTGTCTACTTTAGAAATTTATGTCGACATGAGTGTTTATGCAATACTTCACAATTCACATTACATTGTTGGAAATAGGTAGGTATGAAGCGTAACTTGTTAGACTAGGTGGCGTCTAAGAGTTTAGAAATGTTTTATGTTTGTAAACACTAACATTTTAGTTAAAACATACACTATTCGCAGTACCTGCCGTATTTTAAACAGAAGAAAATTCCATAGAGCATTAAGGTCACATTAATGTACACACTATAATATAACTGCGAAGACTTAATTGGTGTATGTAAAGTTTTTATTTCTTTTTATTTTATATGTGACTGAATACTGTTTGTCTTCCAATAAATAAATAAATACATATTAAATATATATGTACCTCTTGTAAAAAAAAAAATAACTGTTGACTAGGTATAATAGAATATTGCAGCCTAAATTATGATGTAACATATAATTATGTATTAGAAAAATTAACAAAGTACTCAATTTACACTACGTATGTAAAACGTAACACCGGAAAAAACAAAGCACTTTTTTTTAATTTCAAGTTAACAACAACTTCCTTGTTATTCTGCCAACCCTAGTTTGCGAAGAACGTCTCATTACCCTTTCACACACTGCGGACGTGCCGTTTTTTGTCCGCTAAGGTGTTAAAATCTTCATAAAAGCTCTTTGGAAAGCATTATTAAATAATTTAGTAACACGTAATTAAAAATTAAGATTTAATTTCATCCTTTCTTAGTTAATTTTTAATGAACATTTTCACGCCACAATCACTTGGGGGCGAGTTTGCGAATTAAAGTTAGCTGCCTATTAAATTGTTTTTGTACTCTAATAATTTTATACAGTGGTGACCTACATAATTACGTTTGTATTGACATACGCTGTATAGTAAGTATACTAATCTGATAGCCTCCCACATTTGTTCCATTTTAGATTGCGCATGTGGCTTATAGAGATATTAATAAAATACTACGTAAATATTTGCGTAGTTTACATAGCGATTTGTTTTTTTTCTTTATCGCTTCTTATAATACTACTTATTCAATTTTATCAAATAAGTTACATATTATAATCATATAATGTCATTAAATGTAATTTGAGTAAAAACAAAATAATTGTTTTATCACTTTGGCAGAATACTATTGAAGCCTTTGATAGTACTCAAAAACGTAAAATCAATGAAAAGTGATTAATTCGCAACTACCGAATACGCTCGCTCTATCGCCGTCCTTGTCGCACCCACGCGTCGATATGAAACAAACGCGTCATTTTGCCACCTACAACGCATGCGCAATCTTTCATTGCAAAGCCAAAATGGCGTCTACTATTATAAATTATTACGATGAGAAAAATAATATGCTACGCTATCCTTGTTTTTAAGGTAAATACTGATAATTAATTGTACAATTTCATAGAAAATAAGTAAATTTTCTATTTTATTTTTATAAATCTATATACATATAATAAAATTGTAACTAAGTCGAATCTGTATATTAAATATTTTTTGGAAAATCTAATTGAAATAGTAATTATTATCGATACAGAGTCCGAATCTATAGTTTTTGTCTGTCTGTTACCGCATCACGAGAAAACCACTGGACAGATTTTGATGATATTTGGTATGAGGTAGCTCGTTATTCGGGTCAACATATAGGATACTTTTTACCACGAGAAAATATCTCATTTCTGAGAAAAAATACAAAAACTTCATTGTAACAGTATACTAATATGTAAAACCTAAGAATTTGGTTTTTGGTCATTTAAACGCGGGCGGAGCCGCGGGCAATGCTAGTAATTAATATATGTATGTATATCAGTAAAAAAGTTTTATTAAGTACTTATCACTAATATGTATTTATAATTAAATTGTAGACCAAAAATATTGCTCATTTTATATTTTTATGAGGCATACATCGATCAAATGTAGGCATAGCGTAAAATTTCGGTTGCTCGCGTTGCTACTACAGCTGTCATTACATAAAACTCATAAAATCAAACCATGTTATTACTTGCAGATGTAAATTCTAATCGTTTATAAATAACTAGAGAGGGGTCATAGATTTTATTGTCTAAAACTGACCAGCCGTACAGACGAAGTAGGGGGTCTAAGAAATAACCGGGTCACGCAATTTCTTAGATCCCTTCGTTTTCTAACTCATAATTACACCTTTTCTAGTGTCGTTGAACTTTCAATGTTTTCGATTTTGGGAACTTAAGTGGACGTAACTGCGGGGTCCCGAAAATAATGAATTGAAAATATTATAATTGAAATGCAACAATTGCATTTTTTTTTGTCTGAACGGTCAGATTTTAAATATATGCAGTTAATATTGACTCACATTTGCTAATTAAATAAATAAAAGTTTAATTTTACGAAAATATAATAATATAAAAATATGTACCAGATGTACATGTTGTAGAGGTTAGTGGGAGCTTCAATCAATTTTATTAGCGAAAGTAAATGCGTGTAACTCATAAATCTTGCATTGTGCACTACAAAGCGGCCCGCGCGTGCGCACCCTTTGTGTTGCACCCTCACTGACACTGACTCTAACGGTTATATTGATTTTTTAACTGTCATTTCACCCCGACCACTCGTAATAATTTCCTGTAAATGTAACAGTGTAATATTTTTTTTATATCACTAGTTGTTCTCCCTTGGCTGCGCTCACGTGGTACGCCGACACAAAAACTATGTTATCCCGGATTTAAAAAAAAAACAGCTTTTTAATAGGGACAGAAATTATTGAATCGGTTCACTAAGTTCTGAAAGTTCCCTTACATAAACAAACATTTTACCACTTTATAATACTGTAGAATATGCCGCTATAATAAATCATAATGCCTTGTATTCTGATTTAGATGATCAATCATTTATTATATTTATGTTATAACTTTAGTTTTTTTTTAAATTAAAAAAATAAATAAAATTATAGATAACGCATATATTATGTATATCATATAAGTGATAACTAGGTAACTATGTTTTTTTTTACGATGATATCACGATATCCGAAACACATTCGCGAAATAATAACTGTGTGGGTGATTAGAAAAACTCTGTCAACACACGTGTTTAAATTAGAAAATTTCGACAGATAGGGGAATAACGGCCGCCGGCATCTGCCAACCCCCGCGCGTACAATATTTATAGCACCCTCTAGTCTGCATCGGGTGACCGGGTTCATCTGCGTAGATCCATTTCAATGCGGGATAACACGCAATTTTGAATAACTAATGAGACGATACGTAAAATGCATAATTGCTATCTAAATTGTGAAGTGAAACGTTGTCCAAAACATTTATTAGCACGCAAGAGTAAGTACGATAATTGGAAGCGACACTTCTTAATGCACTTGTTCAAAGTGCAACTGTCCAGAAATGGCATTGCTAATGGATTTCGTTACCTTATTCCCACCAAGTGCGAACCAACCCTAAGGAAGCGTATGTAAGATATGGTTCAGTGATCCTAAACAACTGCCAACATAGTGATAAAAAGTAACCTTTCACAGGGTACTCTGACTCCAATACTAGAAACTAGAATTCTTCTAGTTACTACCGCGTCATAAATTATTTACGTTTTATCTAAACTTGAATCCTTAATGTTTTCTAAGTCCAATCTATTTTCTGGGTAGAATAAAAAAATATATATTTATTTTAATATGAAAACACCTAGTTGTTGTATATGTATTGCATTTTAACAATATAGCCTGGCGTCCTCAGCACACTTTCTAACATTTGAATGAGATGAAAGTGGCGTCCCACGCTCGCAAAACACGCCACATTAGTGTGTTATGTTTTAGATATTTCTTTATGAACAATGTCGTATATTTATAATATTAAGCATCTGTTTTTCATGATTCATTAATTTGTTTTTTTTAATAAAAAAATACTACTATTTACAACTTATGAGGTAGGCATAGCTTCTAAAAATATGTGTTAAATACATTTTCCTTGTATAGTGCAAATTTTTTTGATCTTGAAGACTGTCACATCAAGGTGAAAAAGGCAATAAAAACAGCTGATGAGTTACTGTTCCGGACAATGAGTCCTTGACATTTGTCTATGGAACCTCTCAACTGACCGTAAAATCCTCCATCCATTATATTCCTGTTTGGAAGACAAGTGAAAGTGCTCAAGACTTTTGCTTTCGTTCAAACATTGTTCCAGTTCTGCCGTTATTTTATGCGATAAAAATTTGTAATTATGTTAAACACAGTGATTAAATATTTTAATTATTATTTTTTCTTATTATCTTGATTTTTCTCATATGTTTTCCATGTAATATATTATACTAGCATTGCCCGCGGCTCCGCCCGCGTTCAGATGACCAAAAAACAAATTCTTACGTTTTACATATTAGTGTACTCTTACATTGCAGATTTGTATTATTTCTCAGAAATGACATATTTTCCCGCGGTAAAAAGTATCCTATACGTTGACCCGGATAACCAGCTATCATCATACCAAATTCCATCAAAATCCCTCTACTGGTTTTTCCGTGATGCGGTAACAGACAGACAGACAAAAATTCTTAAGACTATAGATTCGGGCTCTGCATCGATAATAATGTCGATTTCAATAAGATTTTCCAAAAAATATTTAATGTACAGATTCGGCTTAGTTACAATTTTATTATATGTATAGATTTATATGTTCTCAAAGAAAAATAATATTCGGTACTTTTTTAACTTACATATTTATTGTCATTTACAACAAAGGGTTCTATATCAGATGTGTTGATGC